AGCCTCAAGCTGGTGGCGATAGGCAACCGCCCACGCATCCACTTCCACATTCCGTTTAGACCACCAAGAGAGGCACGAAAAGGATGTCGCCGTATCGAGGTGACCGTACACGTGGCTAGGTTCCCACAAGGCCCTAGAGCGGGCAAGTGCCTCCCGGATAGAGGAAACCAGGTCAAACTGGGCTTGTTGAGGTGTAACTCGATTGTCACCAAAGGTGTTGAGCAACGCCGAAAATCCATCGCACGCAATCCTAACACGGGGTGGTGATCGAAGTGTTGGGGCCCACTGGTCGAGGAGCCAATCAACAACCATGATACCGGCCAGTAGGCCAATCAGTTCACTCCGGTACGCGCTCTGGTCGTCAGTTCGACCTGGAGTCTGGCATCTTACGATAATACGTTCCGTGCCACCCTTACGTGGAAGCAGTTGAACCGCTGCCGTGCCCAGACCAAGCTTATAAGAACCGTCGCTGATCACACACAACCGGTCTTCGAGTAGGGCTTCAGCAAGGAGGCTTTCGTCGCCATCGATCTCAATTTCTTCAGGGGTCCAGCCAACATACTTGGTCACCCTGGCTGAGGCGGCCATCCAGGCGGCCAGCAAGGACGGGTGAGAGTCGTGATGCGGCTGCAGCGGTACTGTCCCAATGCCGGTGAGGGCTAGAGAACCTAGCGAAGGCGTAATGTGGACGGTAGCTCGGCACAAGCCAGCAGGGAGTGGTTGGTTCCATAAGGGGGCTGGCAAGAAGCTGACGCCGTTGTCGGTATGCTCGTTATGTGGTCGTTTGCACCCGGACAATTGCGTAGAACGAGGATAGTCCCATTGAATGCTCCGTGTGGAGGAGCTACGGGGACGGTAGCGCTGCCACCCGTGGCCCTGGCGGTGGAACAATCCGTGGGTAGAAGACCATAACCAGTTCCAGTTGTTGAGGGGATCGATCCATGGGCCCAGAGGATGACGCAGTAGGCGCTGGGGTCCGTCAGAGACAAGTAGTGCTCGGGTAAGGTGTTCCTGCCACACCTTCCAGTGGTTCCTGTTAGGCCGGACAGTGCAAGGCCATTGATATGACGACCGATGAGCGTAGTCACGTTCCCCATGCCACATGGACTCTCGTATGCTGAGGCCATCCGCCGTCACAATGTCGGAGACGGTGCAAACTTGGAGGAACATACGGCACCAGTTGAGCCACTTTAGAGCGTCCTGATCCACTTCCAACTCCATGAGTACCTCAATTAGCAAGGCATCGCCTTTGCACCGGAAAGGGGGGACAGGAGAGTCAAGGGCAACATAGATATCCAAGTCCTCCAACTCTTTCCAGACTCTTTTGAGCCAAGTATCTGACGCCAAAATTGCCGTGTTGCTATAGTCCTGCTGGAAGAGTCCAAAGAGGTGCCGGTCTCAAGTTGGTGTTCTTGAACCGCAGCCTCCATATACTCCCCAGTTTTGGTTCGGTTGGACAGGTGGCGAAGCAGGACCTCAAGATGTTTAGACACCTGAGTACCAAACGGATGGGGGATGCCCAGACCCTAAAATTTGAGAGGGGCAAGAACCATGTCCCGAGGAAAGTGCCTACATATGCCGGCCTTTGGCAAGCAGACTTGGAGAACAGGACTCATAATTGATACCCATGTCGCCGCATCCAGTGTAGTTAACACCATAGGATATTCCAGGGATTTCATCACTGTTGTCTTGATAAGGGGGATGACATCGTATTTGTGTAGATGCCCCGATCGCACTTGCTCAGCCCACTTTTTGGCGATACTCTCGAGATGGACGATGTGAGCATGTTGGTCTTCCAATGGGGCCAACATGACCCCCAAAGTTTTCTCTGCCTCATCCGGCTCCAGACGGCGTAAGGCTTCCAATTGGCCAGTCAGTCCCGGTATTTGTAATGGATGATCCGGTAGGAGTTGGTGTGTCCGGCGAAACCTCCATTTGCCCTCTCTGGGGTCCCACACAAAGTCAATCAACCACCAAAAGGACTTTTCTGGATTAATTGCCCCTCCAGTAGCACTAATGCCTCCAGCCCACGTGGAAGCCGCTTGTTGGACGGAGTGGCATATATCCTCGCCAGATTGTTCCACGGACTTGCCCGCTTTGATCACATCCGTGTCGTCGACGAAGCAGAAGCACTGGGCGGTGATCAGTTGAGAATCAATCGCGGTGAGACATTCGAAGCCGAAGCCCATCGCGGTCATCATCTGGATGATGACGGAGCTAACGGAGACCCAAATGGGCGGGCCCGCTCCGTTGCCCTGGCCGCAACCCTGAAATGGTACCATGGAAGGGGGATGAAAGCTCTCTTCAGAGTCACCAAAGCCTGTCCGCACTCGGTGTGTGGACGTTGCAAGAGTGTCAAACATCATGCGCAACGCATTCCAAGTAATCGCCAGGGGCATCATAGCTAACACCGCAACCCAATGGACGACCCGATCAAAACACGACTTTGCGTCATTTGAAATCCAACCCGCAGAGCGGCGATGAAGAATCAGAAGGTCCCACACAAGACGTTTAGACAGGGCAAGATCAATCGCTTGATGGTGCTTTCTAGACCCGCACTGTCCATCGGCCAAGAGGTGATGTTCTTTGCCGTAGGCCATAGCCAGGCGGCCCAGTTTCTTGTAGTTCGCTTGGGATTCAGAATTCATGAGCTGAATCGTACGCATTTTCGTCAGCCGAAAGTCGCCTGGCTTCTTTTCAATGGCGAAATTCATCAGATGCCGCCAGTTGTCAGGGACAAACCCAGTTGTCAAGGGTATGTGGCGGAAGAGAGCGTCGCATTGGGCCACCATGGGGGAATAAATCCCAGCCTTGAAATGACCGTTATGAAGCCCATGCGGTTCCGAGCCCTTATTCTCTGGATTACGGGACCAGAAGTAAGTATGGTCGGCCGGCGACACTTCCATCGGGATCATAGAGTGCCCTTGATGGAAACGGCACTGCTCCAAGAATGACTTAGTGTAAGGATCGATCCCCTCCGGCATGGGAAGGCGGCCCTCCAGAAGTGCGTGGGAGTTCCGCTTTGCGTCTTCCCCGGTGAACATAGAATACAAAGGTTTGTCCATGGGAGGAGTCGTATAGGGCGATCGAGTCTGGTCATACCGTGCGCGATTTTCCTGCATGCACCCTTGCTCGACTTGTCTCAAAGTTGTAGTAGCCGCCCGCTTTAATCACCACTCCGGAAGTTGCGAAAATCCCATCAATGGGTCTGCCCTGTTTGTTGCGATGCTGGGTTGCTGCAGTTCGACTTGGATGACGTTGTAGGATTGCTTCCTCCAATCCTATGCTGCGGAATCCTGGTATGAGGAGACATCCTCATTAGCATCCACGCCCACAATCACTTCACACCCCTCGTCGCGCCATTGGGTGATCGCACGTAAAAGGTCCACCATAAAAGCCTCGCTTGGATCATGCTGTCTGCCTTGAGAGCGGAAGAAGCTGCGGTGTTGCGCCCAACTTGCCGCATCCTATCATTCCAGTGATGACCTTCAGGTAGAGAAGGCCAGTGTGTGTTGGTCTCGGCCAACAACGCAATTCCCACTTGTTCATCTTTCAGCCACTGATTAATCTGTAACTGTTTCCGCCCTGTTGACACGGCCGGGAGGCCATTGACATTTTGGAAAATCAGGCGGGTCAGTGCAGAACGGTGACATCTGTGATCATCACCGAAGAAATCGCCGGCGGGAAGAGAACGTAAAAATTCCTCTACTGATGCATGGGAGACATCAGTCGAGGGGCCACTGAGTCGAGATCTTCTGCCTGCACGCCGTGACCGAGCGGCAGACGATCGAGGGCCTCTCATGGCCCTGCCGTGGAGCGGGAGGCTCCACGGCTGGCCAATGGCTTCTTCTTCCTTCGTTTACCCATAGAACGGTCAGGAGGAGGAGAGTGTTGAGGATGACGGAAGATGGGGAAGACCGGGGACGGCGAACCATCCGAGGAATTGTCAGAGACCCTAGAACTGGCCAGAGACGGAATAGAGGACCCTGGGCCAGAGCCTGGGTCCACAGCATTGCTATGGTCCGAGGTCGACAGCGTCCTTGCTGTGTGGTCCGGAGTCACAAGTTCCCGCCGAGAAGCAGCAGTGGTAGTGTCTCGAGGCGGAGGATGGTTGGCGATGGTCATAGTAGCCCGAGGTGGCGAGCTTGGTAGGGGTGCCGTAAGCGGACTTGACTTGGCTGCTTGCGCTGGAGTAGCCGGCGGAGTTGGCTCCTTTGCGGCAGAATCGGAAGCTGCTGACTCTGGCCTGTCCTGGGGAGAGGGAACCGTGGCTGCAGGTTGGGGAGGCACAGCCGGCTGCGCCGCTTGGCTCGAAATAGTCTGTTGCAGGAGGCGCAGAGCCGCAAGTTCGTTGGCCAGAGACTCAGACCGAATTCGTTCAGCTTCCAAAGCGCTACTCTGTTCAACCAGAAGATTCTCCTTAAACTCAATTTCAGTGATTGCCGCTTCCAATTGGCTATCCTTCTCCAGTAACTCATCCATGGCGCCTGCTACAGTAGCTCCATCATTGATATCTTTTGCATCAGCCATTTCCATATCAAATTCCAGCTTAGCTTTGGCGACGTCAAGTGGGTCAGACCCAAATCCATCAAGGAAATTGATAGCTTCGTCAATGCCTTGTAGGGTTTGGTCCGATGGTCGAGCCCGTAAAGTCTCTAAGCACCACACAAGTTCCTTGCGGCGTGTCGTACGGATCAGAGACATGGACAGCCACTTCGCAATCACCCTATTAGCTTGGGTAGTCGTCAACTCCCCCAAATGATGTGTAAAGAATGGGACCAGTCCATTCAGAACATTAATTGCCAAGGCAGCATATTTCAGCCTACTGATGAACAAGTAGGTCCCTTCCATCTCACCTGGTAACACCATGATGAACAAGGGACTAGGAACGTTGTTCTCTAAGTCCATTTTTCTCTTCCTCTCCGTTTCCTTCGCACGGCGCTGCTGCGCAGGAGTGAGAACCGGACCATCATGCTCCAGAGTCGGTGCCACGGCAGACTTTGGAGGTTGCTTCTTGATCTTTGTCTTCCCTTTGACAGTCACTTTGGTGAACTTATGGGAGATGTCCTCCAGCAAGGAGTCATCAGAATCGGAATCCAAATTCACATCCGCAGCTGCCACCTTCTCCGCATGAACAGGTCGGGCTTTGATCGAAAGAAACATAGACAAACAAGTGCGAGGACCAAAGGCTTTAGTAGTTGCCTGTTTCAGCATCCCTGGAATCTCAACTGGACAATATTTGGCCTGTGTCAGTTCCACGAAGTCGTTATGCTTCGAGATCATCGTGAGGTTCTCATCCTTAACCGGGCCCACGGCCTTAACGGGGCCCACGGCCTTAACGCTGATTGTCCCGTTCTGAGCAGCCTTCCAATCGCTAATGTAATGTGTGACCGCGCACCATGGGAAATCTTTCTTAGGAGTAGACGGGTGCAGCCATAATCGTAGCTCTCGATCCGATCGCTTAGCGTCCCTCGATCTGACGTAAACGTGCCACATCATGCATCCGGGCGATCGTTCATTCCACTTGCTGTGGCCGTTGTAGGGAATGTTTACGCATTCGTACCGCAGGCCGATAACCGTCTTCCAATCAAAGTGTCGCATTAATTCTTTCTCCATAGCCCTGATGTTAATTTCCTGTGGATAGAAGCACAGAGCCCCAATCTTTTCGATATCGCCAAACTGTAGAACCGATTCATAGCACCCCGCTCCATACCCTTGCGGACGCAATTCACCGTGTAGATATTGGCGAATCGTTCCTGCCGTCACTTCAACCTCAAAACCCACTCTCATCCTTGTGCGGAGCTTCTTTTCGCCTGGCTTATTAGAAGTCGAGGCATATGACATGTTGCCGAAAGACATGTCCAGATACTTGGACAGGCTCCGGTAATCTGGAATCAGCCGTCGAAGATCCGCCTCCGTTCGAATCCACTGCTTAGACTTCTTGTAAGCACTGTCAGACAAAGGAAGAAAGCGAATCGTCTCCTCCGCGTTCTTTAAGACGTCTGCCAGCGTATCCAGAATATGGTTCAAGATAATAGAGGCATGGGTCGTGTTCCCCCCTTGTTGGCCTTGATAGCTGTACGCCATTCCCAGTTCGACCAGGATAGCCTGACCTGCCGTCCAAGTTGACTTGTCGCGGCCCATCTAGCGTTCTTCCAATGTCAAGCTGCGTTGTAGTCTTCGTTTGGCCTTAGAGCTTTGCTTTGTGACTGTGGTGTCCGTTTTTTGTGCGGTTGGTGTGGTTGATTGTGAAGCAAACGCTGAATGTGTCCGTTTAGCACTGGGTTCACTCAAGGAGCTCCCGTCCACATCCATTTCTGTAGATGGAGCGACCAGCGAAACCCTGTGGGACCGTCCCTTCTTCCTCGGCGGAGATGCCAATTCAGGGTCCTTGTCTTCACCAGTAACACCGGTCAGTTCAGAAACTGCACATCCGTATTCAGGCCCATGTTGTTGTTGTCTTTCGTCGTTTGCAGTATCCGTAAGATCGTAAGTACTTTCCACGAGGATGACAGAATCCTTGGCATCGTCCATGGGTGATCAAAAATGGAAGCACACATCAACCAAAACTGCATCAGGGGAGTCTCATTACGTAGAGCGGGATTAGTCCTATCGTCCCTCAAAAAATACAGATCTTCTTGTGGAACTTTGGAATCGTTCACAAGGCCAACATCAAAAAAGGAAAACGGAATCTGCTGAGCGACTTGCAATGCGATTGCTCTCACTCCCCATGTGTTATTCTGTAGTTTTTTCCACCTTCCGCTTGGGCTCAGGAAGCCTTTCTGCCGCGGGGTCCACGTGAAATAGTTTCTTGCTTGCTGGGTTTGCCACAGAGCGCCCTAAGTCTTCGCTGAAATCTTCGATGCATTCTTTGATGTGGTCCGGGACACTAAGTCGCACGGAACCATCATCGCAGAACTCCACTTCCATTCCTAAATAGGTGTGTTTCTTTCCGAAGCTTTTACGCATTTCTCCAAAACGATCTTCTAGTTTTTTAATAATGTCGTGTACCGCTTGTTCATTCTTCGACGAAATCTTTAAGTCGTCCACGTACCAGCAAATAGTGATTTGGGTTCTGCAGGAGAGCGTCTTGTTCGCCAAACAAGAATCGTAAGGGTTCAATTCGAAGTTGGTTTGGATGCCACATCTACTTCCGCTCCCCTTCTTCAAGACAAGCAAGAGGCAAGCATTTCAAGAATTCCCAACCACGTCCAAACACCACTGCCAGTAATGGATCTTCAAGTCTATCCTTGGTACAAAAATCCTTGGTGGGAAAAGCATCTAGATCAGTACAATCTGCGCTCTTTGGCTTTGGAAGTGGAAAGGGCAGTGCTTTTAAACTTGTCATAAGCGATTGCACAGACAAGTGGAAGGAGTTGGGCAGCGTCTTCCTTCACTGCCACAAGAACAAAATCAACCACTTTGAAGGAAGGATGTCCTCAAACCAGAAGGAATGCATGCTATGCTTGGTGTGGGGCTCAAAGTTTTATTTGAAAAGCAACAGGGGATGGTTCATAACATGATTGGCATTGCATGTGACATCCACATGCTGAGTATGTTTGAGCTTCTTGGTTGGATCACCAAGCCCAAAGAGAAGGCGGAAGGGGAAGGGGAGGTGAATTGTGACTTTGTGAAAAGAGCTGAGATGATGGCATGGATGCCTAGAAAAGAATGGAAACACATGAATGCATGCTATGCTGGCATGGGCCAACTTCTGGGTGGAAAGAGTTTGAATAGTAGAAAATTACTGGCCCAGGCACTTAGGAAAATTGCGAGCAGTGCAACCGAACTAGGTTTAATTGAGCAGATTCTTAGTCATCCTAGCTACTGTGGTCAAAAGAAGTAGATAATAGTGATAATAGTCAGAAAGCAGGCCATAATAGTGGGAAAGCAAGTAGCTATATTAGTTCTTCTTGGACCTTTTGGTTGTTGGGCCCTGATAGGCATTCTTCGCATGGTAGCTTCTTTGAGAACAAGACCTCTTGGTTGTTGGCATGATATTGTGAATCCAAGACAAAGTAGACCCTTGTCTATCAACTCCTTTTTTGATAGGGATTTCTTCATAAGATGTGCCCTGATGGTGTCTCTTAATTGCTCATGAAGCCGTTGCTTGAGTTGAAGAAATCCAGCTACAGCATTTTGATCAAGCGCTTTGACCTCCTCTAAGAGGGCACAGGCCTCGTAATGATCATGCTTGCACACCTCATGAGATGAAATGTGTGGCCAAACATTTTTGTCATCGTCTATTAATTCACCAAAAGGACCATTCCACCAAAAGGAACATTGTCACCTCCATCACCAACATCCAAATCAGCATCAGTCTCAGCCTCCAACACGGCATTGGCATTGAAATCACATTTGTCACTAACATCCTCATCATGACTACCATCCTCACTATCATCAACATCATCCTCATCAATATCATCCTCACAGTGATCATTGTAGTGATCGTTGTCATGACTCAAGTTGGATTGCTGACTCAGCCCTTCAAAGGTCTCCCTACCCATCAACAAGTCAAAAAACTCTGTACTATAGTTGACAATTCTCCTTCTGTCAGACAACTCTGGTAAGCGAACAGCATATTGAGTGACACCCGGAGGAGGTCCACTGGGGAACAATGCGCCCTTGCATTCTCGCTTTGCTGAAGGGAGAGACCTTATAACTTGTTCATGCTTTCTTCTTCAATTTCCTCCTCATAGGCAAACTTGTGCCATATCTTCCACCAAGCCGGATGAACATCGTGATGACCAAATCTCTGACTTGGAATGTGATGCAATGGCAGCACCTTGATGGACAAACGGGAGTCCAACAGATTCATAATGACAGCAGGAGCATTCCAAATGACCATTCTATGGCGCTCACTTCACGTAGAAACACCTCCTAAAACTTACTTATGGGATATTTGGCTCACGGTTGCAGAACAAGCAAACGCAATTGTTCCATTCGACTACTTCTATTGAGTCCCAACCAAACTTGAACGAGGTTTCTCACAAATTGTTTGGGAACCGTCTCTCATCGTTTAGGTTAATATCTCTATCCATACTCAATTGCCTGTTGCACTTTTTGCGCCGAATTAGACTTGAGCATATTAAGAAATATATTGTACAAAAAGTGCAATGGAGAAATATTTCTTGTTGTGCAATATGCGGAAAACAACAAATTATGCCTTGGACGAGGAGGAGGCAGGGCCACCACTATCCACTAGTAAAACGACAAATAATACAGGACAAATTGGATACCAACTGAGGAGATATTGGTACATATACCCAAAAGGGTTTGTAGAACTACAACCAAAAATTGACTTGCACAAGCGAAGAAGGAGCTGCGCCGTTAAGAAGAAGCAGGATTCAATCATGGCAAGGAGGAAAACACCAACCACCTCATGAAAGTCAAACTGAAAGAAAGCAAAAAGAAACAATACTTTGAGACCAAAAAACGGAATCCAATGCACTTGGTGCAGATCCATGGAATCAAACCAAAGTCAAGGAGCTGCAAGCTTTGTCAAGCAACAAGGCAGCCAAGAGAAAGATGATGGCCAAACGGGGAGCAGAAATCAACAGCAAATGGACCATTGGTCCTCAAACCCACACTGTTGGAATAAAGCAAAATGTGCTCTATCATGAGTGCCTTTAGCGCTCAGAACAAACTCTCTGCAATCTAAATTTGTATTCGACTATACAACACTTTCACAACAATAGTTCTCCTGTGTTAGGTATACTTTGAGCGAAATTGTTCCTATTTGATTAATGTTTGGCTTGAATTGATGATTCAATCACAAAAGTAAGAACTCGATTTGACTTCTACGACAATTCTGTGTTGAATCCAGTACTTTGGGACATCTTGTATTATTCCCTACTCCATCGTACATAACACCAATATCTCACTTGTATAGGGTCATTCCCTTTTTTTGTGGATGTAGATTGTCCGACAGACTTGCGTCCGGCATACTTGCGTCAAATCCTGACATCACGATCAAAGTCCGATCGTACGTGTCAAAAACTTTGTACTTGAATAGTTTCTTTTTGGAACGTAAAAACTCATATTTCGTCATATCCCAACACACTCCTGCCATTGTGACAATCACCATTGGCAGATATTCTTCTCGATCAGATACCCTTGCCACTCCATGAACAACTTCGTCCAAGTTATAATAATAAATCTGATGCATTAATCGTGTTAAAACTATCTCAAGTTTCTAGATTGCTGTTAACGGCTGTCATGGCCATTCACCATACGGAGGTCAGTCCAGTACTGTTGATCCAGTTTGAGGCATCCAATCCCAAGGAAGTTGCTCTATTGCATATTACATTGCACCCTTGCACATGTAGAGAGACGATCTTGCCACTCAAGGCGGCGTATTTTTATTTTGTTTTCTGTGTTTTTTCTTTTGTTGTGCTTGCCTGTATTGAAGCTTGATTTAACCTATGTTCTTGCTCCCTTCTACCCTGAATATATCGATCCAAATGATGGAGAGCGTCCCATGGGCACAGTGTTCCAGAACATTGAGGTTGGAACAAGCATCAAGAAGGCTTGATAGCTCGGCTTCTTTTGCCCATGCTATTGCGACCATTCTGTTCCAGTAGAATCGCGCTTTTATTATCCTGATACAAGATATTCTTCTCGATCGGATACCCTTGCCACTCCATGAACAACTTCATCCATAGTATCATCGTGACAACATTGTCAACAGCAATCAGTTCTGCTTCCGTACTGCTTCTGCTGTTTAGCTTTTGTTTCTTTGACATCACTTGAGCTGCACCTCCTCCAAAGGACAGAGTGCCGCCAGTATGGCTCTTGAAATCTGGATGCACCGCAAATGATGCGTCAATCATCCATTTCATGACTCGTAGTGATTCTGCGGAAAGTGTCAGGTGATAGAACATGTATAAACAAATATCACATCATGCAAACACACTTCTTCCAATCAGACTCTGTCGGCTCTCAAACTCTCGAGGCAAGAATAGTAATTGTTGGATGGATATCCAAACGAGCTCTCTTAGAGACATAAAGTCCCCTTGCAACAGTAGTATGGAAGATCTGACGGTATTCAGCACTGAGTAGCTTCCCTTTACCAGCTTCTAGTAAATCATTAGTAACTTCCCTTTACCAGCTTCCAGTAAATTGTTACCAGCCGGTGTTTCCTGCTTTGAATCCTTGTTGAACTTGATAGGAAAATCTTCCAACATGTTCTTGACATAGTCGTCTATGCGGATCTTGAGTTTTCCTTTGGGAAGCCAATCAAAAGTTAGGGTTAGGGTTAGAAGCAAGGAACAACCAAAAATTTGATGCATTTCATGGAACAATTCTTGAGACAGGCTGTAGTCCTGCAAGATCTATATGGCGTTGCCTGGTTTCAAAATTTTGCAATCAAGATAAAAAGGTATGCTGCTGTTGCTAGCACCGATACTGCTACTATAGACAAGTTCAAGGATGATATCTTTGAAGCCGTTCTGTGCAACTGCGATCAAATGAGAACAGCTCCTCTGATGCTGGATCTTCAGACAAACTATTGCAGGGAAGTGGATTATTATCCAAAGACGGTCAGCATAGCACAAGATATGTTGAAGATTCACATGGATGTGATTAAAAATCCGGGAGTGAACCTCTGTATCAAGGAAAAGACCAACCTAATAAAGGTAAAGGGAAAGGGAAACCAAAGGATGGGAAGAAGAAAGCAGCATGTTATGTGTGTGGCAACAAAGACCATATGTCTCCAAAATGTCCAGACAGACTGCTACCAAAGATCCAATGGAAGAATCCTGATCAATATATTGATTATGGGAAGAAGCTCAATCTCAATCAGATTGGAGCAACTATCCCAGCTACTGTTCCAGCTATAGTTCCTGGAACTTCAGCATCCACAAGTGGAGCATCAAGTGTTGCAGGAACCGTTAACACACCTTTGCGACTTGCTGGTACTACAGGGAATCAGATGATGCAAGTTCCAGCAGAAATGCAACTGGTTTAGATCCCAGCTCAAGGTGGCGGCACTGTAACTGTGCCTTAATCTATGAATGCTAATGATGAGATTGCGTTCAGTGGAATGCAACTCAGCCGACAAGGCTTCAGTGGTGCTCAAGTGCGCCAAGGATTCGATGCAACTCAAGCTCAAACTCCGCAAGCTGTGAAGACTGGCTATTTTGATATGTCAAACCTCTTTCACAATGCTATCAAGGGAAAGGATGAGAATGGCAATGATGACTATTTTATTCCATGTCCTGCTGGTACAACAAATGTCAAACTTCAAGCCAAATGGCACTATGCTAGTGAAGATGAAGATTTGCTGATCTTGCTAATGAAGCAGATTGAGGCATGCAGTGTTGGGATATGGCGAAATATGAATTTTTACGTTATGAGAAAAACTATTCAAGTACAAAATTTTTGACACGTGCGATCGGACTTTGATTGCGATGTCAGGATTTGATGCAAGTCTGCCAGACAATCTAGATCCACACAAAAAGGGAATGACCCTATACAAGTGGAATATTGATGTTGTGTACGATCCAGTAAGGAATAATACAAGATGTCCCAAAGTACTGCATTCAACACAAAATCCTTGTAGAAGTCGAATCAAGTTCTGTAAACAAGGGATTTTCCAAAGGAAAATTGTTGAGCTCACTTTTGTGATTGAATCATCAATTCAAGCCAAACATTAATCAAATAGGAACAATTTCACTCAAAGTATACCTAACACAGGAGAACTATTGTCGTGAAAGTGTTGTACAGTTGATTACAAATTTAGATTGCAGAGAGTTGTTCTGAGCGCCAAAGGCACTCACAATAGAGCACATTTTGCTTTATTCTAACATGCAGTTTATTGAAAGCCAAAGAAGAGAAAGAGATCCATTTGGGTTGTAAGATCATGTCATCATGGACAATGGTTGCACAAACACCACCATTTGTAATAGTGGGCTCATGCATGGACTCCGTCATGCTGAGAAAGAGAGTTCTTGACAAAGAAGGTTTTCTAGGGAGATTTCCGCCTCCAGTTTTTCTAAAGGAAGATGGAATTGCCAATGTACTTGTTATGCGCGAGATGATTGCTGCGGGATACCGTATTACCATGGATACTGATGATGACAATGCCTTTGTTGTGCATTGCAATGGAGACAGAGAGATGCGATTTGTGAATCGTAAGGGTGTGTATGTGTTGGAGCAACTTGGAGCAAATGTTGAACCAGGTGCCAAAGAGACAAGTGCTATGTACGGTTGCCAGTTACACAACATAAATAATCAACCCCGTTTTGAAGTTTCTTAAAACAAACAGAATGGATATGCTGGATGGTAATCCAAAGAGTGTGTTGATGGGTAGTTGCTCTGTCAATCCAATCATCAACATGTGATTTTCTCCATCCTTATTGGCAAACGGGATGTAGTATTCAATGATTGCCTTGATGTTGACACTGTCTTTGATTCCTCCAATCTTGATGGGGGCATTGTGAATCTTTGGAAAGTTGTACACCTGTTTGACCAATTGGGGGTATTGTATTGCGATAGCGAGGTCGTACATTTTTCTCCTATGTTGCAGCATCCTCCTGTGTCGTATATTCCTTTCAAGTTGGCTGTGTCTTCAAGGTTGAGGCTGATTGGGAAGTGCATCTTTGCTAGGACTTTGCTCACTGAGAAGTCCAATTTTTGTGCTTGTTCCATTGTTGCAAAGCTTCCGACCGTCATGAAATTGAGAGGGGGATCCGTTCTCATTTGCTTCCTCTTTTGTCTGCTGTTGTTGCCCATGTGCTTGGTGACTGTTTTGGCAAAGTTTATCAACAGTATTCTTTGTTCTTCTTCCTGCGTTTCTGGATGCTCAATCTTTGAATTGTTTCATAAACTATTTGATTAATATAACCACTGTCCTTGTAACTTGTTATCTTGCTTTTGTGTTGTCTCTGCTCTCTCTTTAGTCTGTAGTCCTCTAGGCTTTTTTCAAACTGGCTGATAACTCCCGGATCTCCTTTGTGGGGACATTCTCTGAAAGAGTGGCCTATCTTTTGGCATCCCCAACTACGGATTGAGGGTGTTTTGTCACTTTCTTCTTCAATGTTGAGTGCTTCTTTGGCAGCACTCATGCATGCTAGCATTGTTAGGGCAGCTTGTGGGCAGTATAGTTTGCTGTTGGGTGTCAGGTTCATGTTGAAGGCAAAGGTGGCGCCAGACTTTCATAAAAAAACAGTAACTTCAAGCCTCTTCAACCAGGAATTTGAACTCACCATGGAGCGACCCACAATGCTTCCAGTGGAACACATCAGAAGAGATCAAGCAGCGTCACCCAAAGTATTCAACAACAACAAAAAAGAGTCAGGACAGAGAGCCATCATCATCAGAAAACAACAACACATTGCGCCCAACACCATCACCAACATTACACCAAAGAACACATAACGCAGATCAATCAGGAGACAAGCCCACCACAAATGAAAAAATGAACAAAAAGGTAGAGACCCATAACACGCACAAAAACTATACAACAAAACCCATAACAAGCGCAAAAACTATACCATGAAACCCATAACACATGCGAAAACTACACAATGAACCAAAAATATATTCATATCGCCCCCCACCCACCCACCCAACACCAACAGCAACAACAACACCAACAACAAGAGTAGCCAACAACAAGAGTAGCCAACAACAAGAGTAGCCAACAACAAGAGTAGCCAACAAGAGTAGCCAGCACAAAAGACCCAAACAGTACAGTATGCTTGTTGACCCAACAAAAGCATAGCCAACAACAAAGTGTAGTATGTCGCGGCATACTCTACAACGTTGAATAAAAACCCAACTCCCAAGACGAAGGACCAGATATAGCAACCCCCTTACTCCCCAAAATAGGTGTGTGTTGTATGTACAAAGATGGAATGTAATAGGAGTGATGAGAGGTAACTCTAAAATATTGTGAGATTCTTCTAGGAAGGAAATTGGATGTGCTGTGGAGCTGATGTGGTGCTGAGGTGGCAAGGAAGCATATGTAAAAGTACTGTAGGATAGTACCATGTATTCTCTGCAATACCATCAGCTACTTTGCATTTGCATTGAGTCTTCACTACAGAAGGCACTCATCTTCTACAAGGGTGATCAGTCCTCTTAGAAGATCTAAAACCGTGCTTCATTGTGTGTACGGTAGACGTACGTACGCGGCCCAGACATACATTTGTATTAGTCCAGTTGACCCTTGTGATTACTATTCCATAATAACGTCACAGGTGTCCGTGTGCGCTAAACGCAAACAGTGTTTGTTAGTGCTCCTTTGGCAGACCAGTGTAGCATATCCTGCACTGTGTCCCTGACAATGGGATATTTGCTTCAAGGTGAGAATAGACAAGATCTTTGTCTCACTTCTATTGGTCATGTAGGAAAAAGTCAAAATAACCTATATTAGTGTTCAGGAGGTTAGGACATCAGTGCGGCCAAAAGACTATTTGACTGGGAGTTGCATTCAATGTAGTGTGGCTGAATGGTCGCTCGCGTCGCAAGTGCAACCGCTGATAAAATGCCAGTATAAGGATCCTTTTTGTCCACTTCTGTGTCATCAACAAAGAACGTTTGGATCATATTTCCAATCGTTTGATGGACTCGTTCCACAATAGCATTCGCTTGGTTTTGAGTATTTGTCCCGTTCACCATGCAACCATAATCATTTTTAAGCATCTCATGAACTTTGCCATGAATTCACTTCCACTATCCTGTATCACATGTTGTGGCCATGGATATTGTACTAGCCATGTTTGTTCTAATTTATTAGATACCGTGTCAGCTCTCTTATCCGGTATTTCTGTGATCTTGAACCATCCAGTTGCAGGATCAATCATAGTGAGGCAATGGAGTTCCCATTTTTGTTTGCCTTGTTCTTTGATGGCGTATGGACCAATCAGATAAATACAAAGAGTGTCCCATGGTATGACTTCTGCCATTTTGGGAGGTACGTGGCCATGCTTCTTTTTTGTCTTTTTGGTTAATTTGCATGTACGGCACTGTTTGCAAACCTTCTCAATATCATTGTGAAGCTTGGGCCATGTGAAATGCATTTGGATTGTTCTTTCCATGCGATTAATACCTGGATGTACCAAAGTCTCATGGTACCAATCCTTCATTCTTTTTTGTAATCTTTTAGGAACAACTATCGTACCATTCTGGTAGATGATGTCATACCGTTTATTGCCCCCACGAACTTCAGTGCGTGTATATTGGCTATTCGGTTTATTGAGTGCAGCGTGGAGCTCAGATTCTTTCTATTGCTCCGCACTAATAAGTGACATGGAAAGAGGATATATATTGTCTGGAAGTTTGTCCCGACAAATATTCATGTAGTCGTTTAAAATGACATCATCAGCCTTAAAAGCATTTTTTGTTTTAGGAATCGACAGTTTGGATGATCGTTTGCCATCATTATGTGCCATAATTTTCAGTGTAGGCGAGCTAGGAGATGAGTCTTCATCTTCCTCGTCAATTAAAACAAGACGTGATAGCGCATCTGCCACTACGTTATCAGGGCCTTTAATGTAGATATGTTCTGGACCGTATTCTTCCAAAACCATGCCCCAGCGCAGGACATGCTCAGTATTGAATTGAGTGAATGTTAGATTTTTGTGATCAGTGTAGACTTTAATCTTGTGTCCCAAGGGAATTGTCCGGAACTCTTTCAGAGTTTCCACAATTGCTAACAGCTCATGCTCAGTGGTTGTGTAGTTGTGTTGGCCATCTTGCAACTTGCGACTGTAGAAGGCAATTGGTTTGGAATCTTGCGTGATAACAGCACCAGTCTGGTACTTGAACACGTCTGTTAGAATAAAGCAAAATGTGCTCTATTGTGAGTGCCTTTAGCGCTCAGAACAAAGTCTCTGCAATCTAAATTTGTAATCGACTGTACAACAGTTTCACGACAATAGTTCTCCTGTGTCTAGGTATACTTTGAGTGAAATTGTTCCTATTTGATTATTGTTTGGCTTGAATTGATGATTCAATCACAAAATTAAGTTCAACAATTTTCCCTTGGAAAATCCCTTGTTTACAGAACTTGATTCGACCTCTACGACAATTCTGTGTTGAATGCAGTACTTTGGGACATATTGTATTGTTCCCTACTGCATCGTACATAACACCAATATCTCACTTGTATAGGGTCATTCCCTTTTTGCATGGATATAGATTGTCCAACAGACTTGCGTCCGGCATACTTGCATCAAATCCCAACATCACAATCAAAGTCCGATCGTACGTGTCAAATAATTTGTACTTGAATAGTTTCTTTTTGGAACGTAAAAACTCATATTTCGTCATATCCCAACACACTCCTGCCATTGTGACAATCACCATTGGCAGCAATGGGACATGCTCTCATTCATTGTTTCTTTTTGTTTTGTATTTTCATGTTGAACACATACATACTTGTCTGACCTATTCCTGTGGACCAAGAATCAGATCCCTGAAATTGCGAAACTTCTCACCTTGCAATGGCTTAGTCATGAAATCCGCAATCATATTATCAGTTGGACAGTATTTGATCTTAACCTTTCCTTTCTCAACTTGATCTGTGATAAAGTAATAACGAATATTGATAGCTTGGCTTCTTTTGCCCGCCCTCTTGCAACCATTCTCTTCCAGTAGAATCGCGTTCAAAACTTCGTACTTGAATAGTTTCTTTTTGGAACGTAAAAAACTCATATTTCGTCACATCCCAACACACTCCTGCCATTGTGACAATCGCCATTGGCAGCAATGGGACATGCTCTCATTCACTGTTTATTTTGTTTCGTATTTTCTTTTGAACATATACATACTTGTCTGACCTGGTCTTGTGGATCAAGAATTAGATCCCTGAACTTGCAAAACTTCTCACCTTGCAATGGCTTAGTCATGAAATCCGCAATCATATCGTCAGTTAAACAGTATTTGATCTTAACATTTCCTTTCTCAACTTGATCTGTGATAAAGAAATAACGAATATTGATAGCTCGGCCTCTTTTGCCCGTGCTCTTGCGACCATTCTCTTCCAGTAGAATCGCAATTTTGTTATCCTGATATAAGATATTCTTCTTGATCGGATACCCTTGCCACTCCATGAACAACTTCGTCCATAGTATCATCGTGATCAAAGTCCGATCGTACATGTCAAAAACTTTGTACTTGAATAGTTTCTTTTTGGAACGTAAAAATTCATATTTCGTCATATCCCAACACACTCCTGTCATTGTGACAATCACCATTAGCAGCAATGGGACATGCTCTCATTCACTGTTTATTTTGTTTCGTATTCTCATTTTTGAACATATGCATACTTGTCTGACCTAGTCCTGTGGACCAAGAATCAGATCCCTGAAATTGCGAAACTTCTCACCTTGCAATGGCTTAGTCATGAAATCCGCAATCATATTATCAGTTGGACAGTATTTGATCTTAACATTTCCTTTCTCAACTTGATCCCTGATAAAGAAATAACGAATATTGATAGCTTGGCTTCTTTTTCCCGCGCTCTTGCCACCATTCTCTTCCAGTAGAATCGCGCTTTTATTATCCTGATACAAGATATTCTTCTCGATCGGATACCCTTGCCACTCCATGAACAACTTCGTCCATAGTATCATCGTGACAACATCGTCAACAGCAATCAGTTCCGCCTTGGTACTGCTTCTGCTGTTTAGCTTTTGCTTCTTTGACATCACTTGAGCTGCACCTCCTCCAAAGGACAGAGTGCCGCCAGTATGGCTCTTGAAATCTGGATGCACTGCAAATGATGCGTCAATCATCCATTTCATGACTCGTAGTGATTCTGCGGAAAGTGTCAGGTGATACAACGATGTACAAAACAAAGATCGCAGCTGTAGGTTCTTGAACTCTCAAGGCAAGAATAGTAATTGTTGGATGGATATCCAAACGAGCTCTTGTAGAGACATGGAGTCCCCATGCAACAGTAGAATGAAAGATTTGAGGGTACTCAGCATTGAGTAACTTTCCTTTCCTGGCTTCCAGTCAATTCCTTATTCACAGCATCCTTTCCATCATCACCAAACTTCTTCAGTCCTTGTTTGATGTAATACTGTTGGATGAAGTTCAGACCTTCATCAGTATTGAACTTGGCCTTGATCTGCATCATGCAACGAGCGATCAGAATAGCGTGGTGCTCTTCATAGTCAGCTTTCATCTCATTCCCAATCTGTTCGAAACATAGATTGTGCTGTACTTCAAGGATAGCTTTACTGTCTTTAGTACTGCGACTTCCTTCTTTGGTACGAATACCAGATTTTAACTTGTTCTTCAACGGGTTCAATTCTCTTTCTCAATGCTTGCGTCTTGTCGCAACTCGATTTTTGTTCTTATTGGCAGAACTGCCACTCCTGCTTGAAGACCATTCTCTTGGTTTCTTTGGAACTTGAGAAAGGTTTAGCTCAGACATTGCAGCTTGCGCATACGTTTGCCCAGATTAAGTGAATTTTGCTACTTGAGGCGTTTCAGGCTCAAATACAATCTCTTCTGGCAGTTCTTGTAGGTCCTCCAGATCAGTAATGAGGCTCCCAATATTGAGGTTGAGCAAGAGCTACTCTGACTCTTTCTTTCAGCGTCCTATTGTTTCGCTCAGCGGTAGGCTCATGGTCTCCAGCTGCAGCCGGGTCAATAGTAACACCCATATCGTCTAGCATATCATCCGTCAGAGGAATGAACGCCCAATCACACTTGATGATCTTGACTCGAAAGCCTGCCTTGTTGTAGCGGCGGAATATCTTATCCAATGCTTTGAATACAGGGTCAGTCTTCAGGTTCTGCACGGGAATACATGAGCGATAATGCACAGTGGTATCAATGCAGGTGACAAACTTAGTATTCTCGATCTCCATGTGATCAAAACAGACGGTAATAGATCAATTGTGCTGATATAATTCCTCTGGTGGACTGAAGAAGTCATCGTGCGTCTTCTTCAGAGTTGGTCTTGTTGACTTGCCTTTCAATGTAGAGGCGTCAGGCCCAAAGATTGCTTTGGCATTATTGATCGCTTCTTTGGTGATAGGACAGTTGTTGATGAGACCAGATTGGATTGCATACTTCAGACTTATCGCATCTTTCTGTTTCCATCACAATGCACAATAAAAGCATTGTCAGCATCAGTATCCATAGTAATGCGGCATCCCGCAGCAATCATCTCGCGCATAGCAAGTACATTGGCAATTCCATCTTCATCGTGATAAACTGGAGGTGGAAATCTTCCTAGAAAACCTTCTTCGTCAAGAACTCTGCTGCCCACGTTAGTGTGCATGTCAAGTTCTTTCTCAGCATGACGGAGTCCATGCATAAGCTCACCATTACAAATGGTGGTGTCTGTACAACCACTGTTCATGATGACATGATTGTACAACCCAAATGGATCTCTTTCCTTTCTGCGGCTTTGAATAAACTGCAGACCTCGATCTGCTTCAGTAGCAAGATCAGGCAAATCTTCATCTTCACTAGCATAGTGCCAGTCAGCTTGAAGTTCGACATTTGTCGTACCAGCAGGACATGGAATAAGATAGACATCAAATGTCTTTCACGATGCTATCAAGGGAATAGGACATGGAATAAGATAGACATCATTGCCATTCTCATCCTTTCCCTTGATAGCATCGTGAAAGACATTTGATGTATCAAAATATCCAGTTTTCACAGCTTGCGGAGTTCAAGCTTGAGTTGCATCAAATCCTTGGCGCACTTGAGCACCACTGAAGCCTTGTCGGCTGAGTTGCATTCCACTGAATGCAATCTCACCGTTAGCATTCATAGAATAAGGGACAGTGACAGTGCCGCCACCTTGAGTCAGAATCTGCATGAGCTGCATTCCAGAAGGAACTTGCATCATTTGATTACCTATAGTACCAGCAAGTCGCAAAAGTGTGTTAACGCTTCCCGCAATGTAAAATATGTCATGTAGCGATAGACTTACTGGGAGGATGATAAAAGTAAAGGAAAGTTGATAGTCGTTTGTAAAAGAAAATCTAGAAAGTTGTGGTGATGTGTGTGGTCCATCACCGATTCTGTACATTACTGCGTACAGACTATGCATGCGTATCTAGTAGCACGGTGACTTTTATTTGGTCCCTTCAAGCTAAGGATCAATGGGATCCATAGGTTGCTCAATAAACCCAAGAACCAAAAAGGTTTTCTATCCGGGATTCGTTTTAAAATGTTGTATCATGGATACCTACTGCAGCATCAGCTTCAATGACAGCATTTCCCAACAGTATCCACGGGTATCATGCAACAGGAGTCGTCCATTCATCCTCTATCTGAAAAGCAGCCATCAGAAACAACGACAATGACCAGCAATTCTACTTTCGGCTACAAGGCCAAAGTCAAACAATTCCAGCAGCTCCACAAAATCTTCGCCGATATGCAAGTTTCTGAGCAGCAGAGATTGCTGATTTTGTTGACTCTGATGATAGCAACAACATCTATGGCAGAGAGAACGGAACATAGATTTTCATTGGAATGATAAACAAACTAGTGAATTGTGATTTGAAATCAGCAACCTTTATAATAGTACTTTGCTATCATTTTATGTTGACATTTAGTGTTCTATCAAGTATCTATGTGATGCTTACGTGTGAAACTCTGTGTGTACTTGTCATTGGTGGTTCTCGTCCCAACAAGTACATTAATATCTCCATCAACAACGGTTGTTTCCCTTCCATTTTCTCGCTGTAGGACTGGTTCCTGTCTTGATCAACAGTCAAGCTCTCAACATTCCCATCCACATCAAACTCTTCCCAGTCATCATATTCATCAAGTTCCTGGAGCATATTGTGAAAGGATGCAACACAGTCGGAACACGTTTCCAATGGTTTCAATGTCCTGAAGTCAAGTGGCGTACTTGAGTACCATGAGCCGCTTCTTGAGAATTCAAAATGCACATTCCAAGTATTTTCTGCACGACTCTACCAAGTTGCTCCATGCCATGGACACTGACGTCCCCTCAGCCTGAAACTTGAATGGGCAAATTAGAATCTTCTATTGGCGCTTTCGTCCTCTTCCATCATAGATTCGGACTAATCTTGCTGAATATCAAAGAGAAAGGCGATTTCCTCTTTATATTCTTCATTATCAAGTGGATCCACTGTTTCCGCTTGCATTGTGTTTTGGTGTTGAAGATTGTTAATCCCTGCGTGGAGGGACGCGCATGCCTATCTCCGACTGCATCTGCCAAGCATTCTGTAGCACCCATAACTTATGTAGAACATGGCTTTGAGCACTACTTCAATAGTTCTACATAATTACCCCTTGACAAGAATGGTGTAGGTCATTCCCTCCAACTCGGGAGTGTCAACACTACCACTCGACGCCATCCACCCTCCCCCTGACGGATAGCAAAACCTCAGGACTGCCAAGGAGGCCGATATCCAGCTCCTAAACCAAAGGACACACCCACACCATCAGCTTGTCACTGTATTTTTTTGGCTTCTCGACTCCAAAAGTTGTCCACCGAAGCCCCTAATATTACAGAAGTGCCTGTTCTATTATGGTTTATGGCTCATGTTTCCTTTTCCAAAGGTTGATCATGAGCAACTCTACACATATGGTTTCAATTTTGGGAAGCAAAGGATCAACCCAATCTATACCACCAGTTCTGACGCAAACTAACAGAAATTTGACGACCAGCGTTGGGCGCCGTCTCACCTTCTACACTGTCAATGATGCTCCGTATCTGGTCCTTTATGCCTGCCGACAATGCACCTGAGGCACCCCAAAACCACCACCAAAGCGGGTGTTGATCGACAACTTCCAAGGTTGCTCGAGGTTGCTAGGCCGTGAAGTTCCAAGGTTGCCGGCCTTGCAATGTTGCAGGCAGGCACAACATTCGATTTCCAATCAATTTATTTCGAATGAATAAAATTCAAAATGCTCCACAAAGCGTCGGCAAGGTTGTGTTAATCCCTGCGCGGAGGGACGCGCATGCCTATCTCCGACTGCATCTATCGAGCATTCTGTAGCACCCATAACTTATGTAGAACATAGCTTTGAGCACTACTTCAATATTTATGTCCGTGTTTGTCGACCTATGCAAGCAAATTCTCAGCAAGTATATTGGCTGCGAATATTTCAGTACCGCCATCTCCATAATCCGCTTCATATTGTCTTGTGTCAAGCAGTTAATTGGAGTTAGCGACGCCAATTGGTCTTCCATTTTCATCCACTATCAGTCTTTTCACCTTTGCCTTTTGGAGTTTGCCTTCTGCGCCTCGTCGTAAACCAATCTCCATGTTGGTGTAATCTTGGGCATCAAGGTCATCTGCAGCTTGTTCAGTCCCCTCAAAGTCGCCATCTTCCAGCGTCTCTGGGTTGATGAGCATACCAAAGTTGCGCATAAATTCGTCATCCTCGTTGTCAAAATCGAACATCATTTGATGAGGAATGTCTTCCTTCCCCCAGTTGATGTAAGTAGATTTAGCGTCAACTATCTTAGAGACATCAGCTGTCCAACGTTGCATCTGTTGTTTGACAGAATCAGTTTGCTGTTCATCGTTGGTTACCATTTGGACAGTATCCACAGAAATGGGGATACCGCTCTTTGGGAGAACCCAATATGTCATCATGGGTCCCACACGTTGTGAAACCCCAAGCCATCGTCCCATGTGGTTGACTCCCAAGCCGCCATTGCTGCGAAAGAACACCCAACCATATATCGTGAAATCCAGATATTCAGTGATTTCTGGCGTGATTCCAGTTATAATTTCTAAAGGTACCCGACCATCAGAGTACTTTGAATAATTGACAGTAACATTCATTGTGTCAACCACGTAGTCCAAGACAAAGTCCCAAAGGCGTTCAGGGATACCGTGTTTGATGATCAATCGATAATACCTCCGTTTTAACTCTCGAATTCCACCTTCCGCCGGGTTTTCTTTTGGAGTGTAAGGTTTGGAAATGTGATGGTCGATATTGCATCGACAAATTGTATCCATAAATGTAGTCTTCCGTCCAATCTGGACAGGTGCACCATCCATCGTAAGGTGCTCCGGTATACCATATTTGGAAATAAACTTGTTCAAGTTGGTCCAACTTGTGCATCATTAACTTTCGGCAAGTGGTGACAACTGTAGAACCCACATTTGTGAAAGTATACCTGGCTGGCAATGTTACCTCAAAGAGAAGTTTGTTTGAAGTAGGCAGTATCAGTTGAAAATTTTCCCTTCAATTGTGGACGTTTAAACATCCGATCAGCTCAATATCTCCTTGCAAGTGGCATAATTGCTGATCTGGTTCCACGTTGCGGGGTTGCGTTTAATGTAGCTCTTGCTCTACCAATGCTGATTCCCAAGCGTTCAGAAAGATTCTCCGTGGTGACCTTGGAGTGCCGTTCAGTGGATACAAATGATGGCCGGACTGGAACATCTTGAAACCTATCAGCAGTTGCATTGATTTGTTGGACAACACGCCATTGTTGTCAGTTGTGTTGCACAGGATCTAAACTGCGCATTTCAGATTCATTTGATCGTGGATCTTCAAAAGGAGTATCTCGTCGTTGAGAGTCTCCCAAGTTGCACAGTGGACAGTTCCCATGGAACTTTACTTGTGAGCTCGATATGGTGGCACGTTTTGAGCTCCTGCTTAGTGGGAGCACGTGTACCAAAGATTAGCTTGGTAACCCTTGATAGTAGTGGTATAAACAAGTCCGTAGCTTCAATCCTAATTTCATGCATATCATCATATGGGTTGTCCCAAAGAGGAGTACCATAACTTCGAATCAGATTTGGGTTGAACAAGGAGTGGTCCAACTTGTTTCCATAGTAGAGCGCTTCGTTTATGATCAAAATAAAGTAGAACCAGTTTCTGGACAATCATATGCTGTCGCCCCTGAAACAATTGGATTATGAGTTGGCGGTAGACTGAAATCATAGGCGTATACATTGGCCGAGCGTTGTGTAAAAGCAGTAATAATGAAATTGCTACCCAAGCAACAAGTGTCAGCGTTTGTGTCCATTTCATTGTCGGTGTAAGTGCCAGCCACAGGTTCTTGGACACCATGGTGGTCTCCAGCTGCAGTCCGGTCAATAGTAACACCCACATTGTCTAGCCTATCATCCGTGAGAGGAATGAACGCCCAATCACACTTGATGATCTTGACTTGAAAGCCTGGCTTGTTGTAGCGGCGGAATATCTTATCCAATGCTTCAAATACAGGGTCAGTCTTCAGGTTCTGCACAGGAATACATGAGCGATAATGCACAGTGGTATCAATGCAGGTGAGAAATGGGGTTGAGTATTTAAGTTGCTTAACTGGCGACGGTATATTGCACTTGTCTCTTTGGCACCTGGTTCCACATTCGCTCCAAGTTGCTCCAACACATACACACCCTTACGATTCACAAATTGCATCTTTCGGTTTCCATCACAATGCACAATAAAAGCATTGTCAGCATCAGTATCCATAGTAATGCGCTATCCCGCAGCAATCATCTTGCGCATAGCAAGTACATTGGCAATTCCATCTTCATTGTGATAAACTGGAGGTGGAGATCTTCCTAGAAAACTTTTTTTGTCGAGAACTCTGCTGCCCACATTAGTGTGCGTGTCAAGTTCTTTCTCAGCATGACGGAGTCCTTGCATAAGCTCACCATTACAAATGGTGGTGTTTGTGCAACCACTGTCCGTGATGACATGATCGTACAACCCAAATGGATCTCTTTCCTTTCTGCGGCTTTGAATAAACTGCAGACCTCAATCTGCTTCAGTAGCAAGATCAGGCAAATCTTCATCTTCACTAGCATAGTGCCAGTCGGCTTGAAGTTTGACATTTGTCGTACCAGCAGGACATGGAATAAGATAGACAGCATTGCCATTCTCATCCTTTCCCTTGATAGCATTGTGAAAGACATTTGACGTATCAAAATATCCAGATTTCACAGCTTGTGGAGTTCGAGCTTGAGTTGCATCAAATCCTTGGTGCACTTGAGCACAACTGAAGCCTTGTTGGCTGATTTGCATTCCACTGAACGCAATCTCCCCGTTAGCATTCATAGAATAAACGACAGTAACAGTGCCGCCACCTTGAGTCGGAATCTGCATGAGCTGCATTCCAGAAGGAACATGCATTATTTGATTACCTGTAGTACCAGCAAGTTGCAAAGGTGTGTTAAGGCTTCCCGCAACACTTGATGCTCCACTTGTGGATGCTGAAGCTCCAGGAACTATAGCTGGAACAGTAGCTGGGACAGTTGCTCCAATCTGATTAAGATTGAGCTTCTTCCCATAGTCAACATATTGATCCTGATTCTTCCATTGGATCTTTGGTAACAGTCTGTCTGGGCATTTTGGAGACATATGGTCTTCATTGCCACACACATAACATGCTGCCTTCTTTCCATCCTTTGGTTTCCCCTTTCCTTTTCCTTTTCCTTTACTTCTATTAGGTTGGTCTTTTCCTTGGTAGAGGTTCACTCCCGGATTTTTAATCACATCCATGTGAATCTTCAACATATCTTATGCTTTGCTGACCGTATTTGGATCATAAGCCACTTCCCTGCAACAGTTCGTCTGAAGATCCAGTATCAGAGGAGCTGTTCTCATTTGATCGCAGTTGCACAGAAATCCTGTTGCAAGAACGGCTTCAAAGATATCATCCTTGAACTTGTTTTGAGCAGCAGTATCGGTGCTAGCAATAGCAGCATACGCTTTCGTCTTGAGTGCAAAACTTCGGAACCAGGCCACGCCATATAGATCTTGCAGGACTTCAGCCTGTCTCAAGAATTGTTCCTTGAAATGCATCAAGTTTTCGGTTGTTCCTTGCTTCATAGTAAAGAACTTTTGATTTGCTTCCCAGAAATCCAAGAAATCATACTCAGCATCAGCACTCTTCTTCATGAATCGTTCAATACGTTTCAAGAGTTCGATCAGATCTTCAAGAGTAGTCGTGAAATCGGCTTCACCTCAAAGCTTGATATCCATCGCCTTTGTCACAAACTTCACCATGATGTTTGATTTGACGGTTCTCTTGTTTGTCTCAAAATAGGCTGATCTTCGCATGTTCTCGTCGAGCTTTGCAGAATCGAGAATCTTGTTCTGGGCCATCTCTGTTTCTCTTGCAACAGCTTCAGTTTGAGTTGGAGCGTTCAATCTTGGAGCAATTGCATTGAAGTTGATCGACTTTCCATCTCAAATTGATTTCACCATGTCTTCGGAACATTTCATTGGATGTAGTCAATCACTCTTTCTTTGGCATCTTTGTACAACGATCTTGCCTTTCCATCATTTTCATCTTTTGTCAAAAATAGATGTTTCACAAATGTTGAACTCAAGTTGCTCTTGACTTTCTGAGGAGTCTAGGTCTCCACAGTCCCATGTAGACAACTTATATGCGCGACACTTGCGCATGAGGCATAATACAACAGTCGTACAAGTCGATCTTCTGATTCCAGTGCAGATTTGAGTGACTGCAGAAGCAACGTTGGTTCATCATTTTGGTAAAAACTACAGAGGAGCAGTGCAAGTTTTGTAATAGGACTATACCAAGTTTAAAAAGCAACTGAACTGAACAATTCCTTCTGACTTTATCCTCGTTTCTTCTGAACAAATGTTGCTTCAGATATTGGCTGAAATGTTTTTCGAACAACTTTTTCTCTTTCTTCACTGAGTGGTTTGTCTATGTGCTCCTTCTTCCATCTGCTGACTACATCATCGGCAATCAAATTTCTGAGCATGCTGTAGTTGATAGAAATAGGTCTACCTTCATTGTAAGCAGCCTTGTCAGTTTCACTGAGAAGTTCTCGAACAACAGCCTCAAGGACCATTGCGTTCATATTCTCGCCTTTCAGACACTTTGCGAAGACAATTCCTCCAGCCACATGCGGAGTTATATCTACCCCTTGCTGTTTCTCTCGTGCCGATCTTCTGTGATTCATTCCAAATGTGTTTGTCACTTGGGCAGCATATTCTTGATTTTGTCTTGTATCTACATGCGCGCTCTTGTCACAGAGATTTGCCATTGTGATCTTCAATTTGCGCTGATACGCTTCTTTGTCCACTGCTTTCTGTTCCTCAACGTATTTGTACAGCCTGAGACTATGTTTCAATACATTTTCCAGTTGCGCAGGACCTCGGCTCAAATCCTCATTATACTCTCAACCATATCTGGACTCTTGCGTGGTAAATTCCAATACCTTCATAAGCCTTGCTCTCTTCAGTTTCACGGTAGAACAACTGAAACCAGCGAGGCTTCAATAATGTATATTTGAGAGCAATGAAGCTACCCGCCAGAACGTCAAATGGGCTCTGTGGCGATTCAAGCTTGGCCTCTTGTAGACAGGGAAGTTTGAAGAAAGAAATATCTAGAAAATTACTTTCGTGTCCAGATTCATCATTGCTTCTTTCTGTAGTGTTTTCATCATTGCGCTGCTCTTCACTTGGCTCATCATGCATAGACGATGCATCCTCAACATCATCATCATCATCATCGTAATGGAGTTCATCGTTGCCTACTCCATGATCATCATCCTCACTTCCATCACCGATTTCCATTTCATTCGCAACCTTCTGCCTTCTTTTCGATTGCCTCATGCTGCTGCTGCGGGATGATGGATTGCGTTGTGAAAGAGGATGAGCTTTGCATCCGTCCCTTGTGAACCAGCGTCGGCATGGATTTGAAATCGCTCCCGCGGTGTAACGACATATTAAAGTTTGGTTTGGACCCACACATTGTTTGAAATCGTTCCCGCGGGGTTTTGATGTGAGGAATGTGTTTTCAGTTTCAGATCATGTTTGCCTATTAACAATTGGTTGCATTTCCGTTGGACAATAAGTAGTTTAAAATTGATAGGACATTGATTGTTATAAAACGTGACATTGAGACTATAAATAAAAATAAATTTTGAATAGTTTCGCAGAAAACTTGAGTTAACACTCCCTCCGGAACGACAAGGTGCGCATATTTTTTCCAACATCTCATTGGACGCCATGATCCTAGTTTCGACCTTGGGAACTTCATCAAATAGTGTTAGACCTTTCAAAATAGCTTTAGGACATCGACTCGGATAAACCACTACAACCTCACAGTATTCTGATCTGAGCAAAGTTGTCTACGTGGGACTGTGGAGACCTAGACTCTGTCCTTTGGAGGAGGTGCAGCTCAAGTGATGTCGAAGAAGCAAAAGCTAAACAGCAGAAGCACTACGGAAGCGGAACTGATTGCTGTTGACGATGTTGTCACAATGATACTATGGACAAAGTTGTTCATGGAGTGGCAAGGGTATCCAATTGAGAAAAATATCTTGTATCAGGATAAGAAAAGCGTGATCTGCTACCGTGCAGATTTGAATAAACCTAACAAATGGAGAATTCACTTGCCTGAAACTTTGGTTGCTCCATTGATTGTTGTTAGAATAAAGCAAAGTGTGCTCTATCGTGAGTGCCTTTAGCGCTCAGAGCAAACTCTCTGCAATCTAAATTTGTAATCGCTGTACAACACTTTCACGACAATAGTTCTCCTGTGTCTAGGTATACTTTGAGTGAAATTGTTCCTATTTGATTAATACTTGGCTTGAATTGATGATTCAATCACAAAAGTAAGTTCACTTGTTTACAGAACTTGATTCGACCTCTACGACAATTCTGTGTTGAATGCAGTACTTTGGGACATTTTGTATTATTCCCTACTGCATTGTACACAACACCGATATCTCACTTGTATAGGGTCATTCCCTTTTTGTGTGGATGTAGATTGTCCGACAGACTTGTGTCCGGCATACTTGCGTCAAATCCCGACATCACAATCAAAGTCCGATCGTACGTGGCGAAAACTTTGTACTTGAATAGTTTCTTTTTGGAATGTAAAAACTCATATTTCGTCATATTTCAATATGGACATCTGCCTGAAAGACACGCAAACTTGGTCCCGTGATTTTCTGTGGCTGTGGATTTGATTGGACTTTGGAAAATCAAGGTCAACGGTATAGACATTGAATTCAATGCGCTCACTTGTATTTGTTGAAATTGCTCTCTTGGGGACCATTCATTGGAAACTCCTTGATAGAAGCAGTTTGACATGTCCGATCGGACACACGGACATTGCGGCAGCTGGAGAGATTGCTTTTTGCAGTTTCAAGGCCAGTTGTCGTCGGTCGTGTGGGGGAGTGATGGAGCTCGAAGGCAAGGTGTATTGTTGCTTTGTGGAATTTCAAGGAGGCTGTTTTTGGCGCGGAATCGGAGGCCTGTCTACTGTTCTTGGCCTCCCTCCATCAAGCTACAATCATCCTTTTGTTTTTCAAGTGTGCTGGGGCCTGGACATTTGGCGTCGCGACTGGAAGTTTCATGTGGAAACTCAGGAGCGCCATGCCACAATTCGTCCCCCCCCTTTGTCCACAAGTGATCTTCAGTGGCACCGCCGCCTCCATGTTTGTGGGAAAAACAGGAGCGCCAGCGCTAAGTCCTCCAAGATCACTGACTGCACACACACACGCACCAGTCCACCATTTGATGTGCCTGTCCTTTAGCAACATGGGTGTGTACAAGGGTGCAGCTCATGTGATGTTCCAGCTGAACATCACGCTTTTGGACGTCTCTCCTACTCTGATCTTCAGAGTTAGGAGCGTGTTGAAATTGCTCTCTTGGAGACCATTCATTGGAAACTCCTTGATAGAAGCAGTTCGACACGTCCGATCGGACACACGGACAAATGTCCGTTTGGTCCGTTTATTCGGGGGATTCCTATGAGTCGGTTTTTGCAGGGAATCTGAAAACATGGAATTGTGGGCTTGGACTATCAAACGTCTGAGCGCCACGAAAATCCCAGACTGAATCCTGCGGGAGTTCTGTACGTGGGTTTTGTACCGGCCTTTCTAGATTGCAAACATCCAGTAAAGTTTTGGGAAATTTGAGTTTTCGTGCAAGGCTTTTGCTTTGCCCATTCCATGTAGATAACAAGTCTTTTAGAATAGTTATTTCCTGTAGAGATGATTATTTCCTATTAGGCGGATCGGAGATTGCTATGGTCGGTGCCTCTTCATGACGACTTGATGGGTCGCATGTTGGCACGGCTGGTTGGCAATGATGGCTTTATGGGCCACAAAGTTGTCAATCGGTTTGGACGACGACAAGCCTGTCGCTTGTCTGATGTCCGCCAGAACCGAAATCCAACTGTATTGATCCCATGACAAATCTCACTGAACTTTCATGCATTGAGAACAAAACTTCAGCCCATGTCACAAATGTCTTCAAGAATCTTTGGCTTTCTCAATATCCAAACCCTACAAGTGCATTCACAATCAAGGCGGCGAATTCATAGGTCACGATTTTCAGTTGAAACTACAGCAGTGGGGAATTCACAATGCACCAGCGACAAGCAAGAATCCAACTGCCAATGCTATCTGTGAACGTATGCATCAGACTGTTGGCAACATTCTACAAACAAGATTCAACAACACCAACATGGCCCCAAACATTCAGACAGCTAATCAAGCCGTCGATGATGCTATAGCAGCATGCAATCATGCCATGAGATGTGCTGTTTCTCAGTCTTTGAAAAACAAAACTCCGGGTGAAGTAGTGTTTGCTCGTGACATGTTGCTCAACATTCCTGTCACTGCCAATCTTTTGAGTATACAAGAAAAGCGACAATTGATGGTCAGCAAAAATCTACGGTGACAAAATGCTAAACTACACAGTACCATCACAAGCCACACGTACCCCAGTCTAACACATACATATTCTCCACCCACCTTGCGTGGAAGAGCCGATCGTCCTTGACCTTCGACTGCGAGCAACGTTCCTCTATTGAACGCCTCCACGTGGTTCAAACTTTGTTGACCAAAAGCAACCTAGTTCCTGGCCTCTACAGCCGTATTACACCGGCAGTTGGATACTCTAGAAGTAGCATAATACCAATTAATGATTCAGTTATATATATATACAAAATGCTAAACTACAACGTTGATGGCAAAAGTTTTGATCAAGAATTTCAATCCAGGTAAATTGGATCCAAAGATGGAAGGTCCATATCAAATTACTCGTGTGTTTACTAACGGAACTGTTGAAGTTTGCAGGAGTCCTCGAGTCTTTGAGAGACTGAATATACGGCGTCTTGTGCCGTTTCATCGAGTCTAGCAAGCAATGAGTTTGAATCGCCTGTTGCGTCAAGAACCACCTCTCGTATGAACTGTGGATGTAAGGGCGCCTTTGTGACTACACTTTGATACAGAATGATATGATAGTACTATGATCATACGACAAGCTTTGATCATAGAGGGGAAGAGTGAAACGGCCCATAGAACAGGCCCAAGGTATTGGGACTGTAGAAGCTCTTTCGGTTGGGTACAAAACTAGACCTTAGTCAAAAGGTCTACGTAAGCACTTTGAAATGCATCTCTATACAGCTCCGATCAATTTTAAACTGCATCCCGTAAAAAATGCGTAGCCCTGGTACAAAAAGTGAAGATCGATCAAGTCGGATGGGATCTTGACTAAATCGACTACACCTCTGACCAAAATTCTGGAACAAGCAACAAGTGATCAGGCAAGACGGTAGACGGACTGGCAAGAGAAGACTCCTGTCTTCACGCCAACAGTCATGTCGTCAGTCGCTTAAGCGAAGTAACGGTAATTCATTGGACGAAAAATTCGGGGACGGTCGGCATGGCAAACGAAGGCGTGAACAGAAGCATACTTTTTGCCAAGTGCAAGATGAGACGATGAAGAGCTAAGGAACCACGATCATCTGAAACAGTTCAGAACGTAGGATTATGCCCCATCTTATACGATGTGACCTTCTTTGTTTACAAATCTTAAAAATTGAATATGCACTATTTGCCTACAGTGTATAGACTAGAGGTCTATCCATTTTAAATTCCAAATTTTGGTCTAGAATGCATGGAATTTTGAAACATTCAATCAAGTCACCTGAAATGCTCGGAAGGGGTCAACGGGAAACCAGAGCCGGGAATCTCATTTCTGCCGCAGCATTGCAAAGAGCACCCAAAGTCGATATAGACAGGTCTATTGATAACTTTTGCTTGGGACTTACCGTGTCTGGATACCAACACGGTGACTGGGATGGATTGGCCACTCCCGGATTGCATGCCAAATTGACCACAAAAGTCAAGTAGGTGCAATCCAATCACTTCTACCTTAAAATCTCCCATTCCAAGCCGCCAAACTTTGTTGGATATACCCATGGACGACAAATAAGTGTTGGACTAAGGAAATTTGAGGAAATTATGCCAAGAATTCGACAATTCCAGAATTTTCAACAATCTTGCCTCTTTTCTGACCCCATTTTGGCCTCATGATACTTCATGTAGACCGAAACATTGCCTCGGTCCCGAAAAATCCAAGCCGTAGGTATCCAATGGAGACTTTGGTGTATTGTTGAATTGATAGCTGTCTCAATGGCGGCCACAGGGACATTCAGAGAGGCTGAGACGCCAAGACAACGCCCACGAAGGAAATCTCAAAAATCTTCGCAAATCAAACAAATAAAGTAAATCAATAGTGCTCCGCCGTTGTAATAGATATCAATAGCAAACTGTATATTGGAGCTCGGCGCTCTCAGCATGTGGGGGCCTCTGTGGACCCCAAAGGGCAACCTGACAGACACAGTTCGAACAACAACACTTGTTGATTGTGGCATGACTGTGGCCAAACAAAAAATTGAATCACGGCTCATGGCGTAGCCTATATATCCATGAAGCTGTCCACTACATCTGATGTTATGCTTGATCACTCTCTCCCAATTCGGTGTCATCATCCATCTGTCTTGGTAAATGGGATGGAGTCTGCGGATGGAATCCAACGCATCAATAACCAGCTGGAAATTCGACCTTGCCATCCTTTTCTTTGTTCACTTTCTTTTGATAAATTGGTAAAGAAGGAGTTTATGAAATAAAAGTGAACCAAGAGAGGTGTTGTGGATGCCAACGAGCCTTCCAAAGGTTGACAACGAAAATGGAAGTTTTGTTGTGATGTACAATTTCCACGAATGTTTACGGAGGTGCGCACAAATCTGAAAGGTACTTGCTTAGATTTGAGATATGACGTGGACTACCAGAAACGTGGAATTCTACGGCATGTTTCGAAATTGTGATGGGAGCTGTACTGAGACATCCACAATTTTCTCTGTGACTCTTCTGTGAAGGTTGGGTTAACTTTTAATAGGACGACCTTGCGCACACCTATTCTATGTAAAACTTGTGGGTGAGATGTAGTATGGTAGTGCTAGCATTCTCTAGACACGTCCAGTGGTTTAGAAACTTGTCAAGAGCTCTTGATGATGGCTGTTTTGCCCCATCAACACCCAACCTTGAGCGGCTCAGAAGAGAGAGGTTCCGAAGCGCTCTGCGTAAACCTTCCAGATTTTTGGAGGACGAATTCGTTAATGAACGACTGGTTACAACTTGGGTGAATACCATGAATGTTCCGAAATGTGCCAAGAGGAATGAGATCGGTATCTTTCACAATCATATCCACGGCTCCCTTAACCTCTGGACTAGAACTAAAATCAAGGTAGTCATCAAATACCATGAAACCACCAGGTCGAAGTAGGTCGATTGTGCCGTTATAATCTGCCCAAACACCACTTGTAGAATGATCGCCGTCAATGAATATAATATCAAAGCTTTCTCCAGAGGGCAATGCTTGAGGGGAAAAGCCGACTCGTAGATCCCATTGCCTGATACTGGCACATTTCCCTGTATTGTTCAATAGCTTTCTTAGGTTCGAACGAATAGTCGATTCTTGATTCTGTGAGCCATTGAAGTGTGTCTTGTCCAAAATGCATGGGTCCACCATCGTCACAGCGGTTGGGAAGGGATGAAGCAACATGAGACTCGCAGAGACACCAGTGTAACTACCAATTTCAAGGTACTTGACAGGTCGTCGCCCAAGATAAGATCTCAAATCGAAAAGGACATGAGTTGCCTCATGGAAATGTCTCTCTGAGACTTCTCTCTGAATTGACCGCAAAGTGTCAAGCGCTAGGACAGTAGTATTCCAATCAGAGGGGAAATAATCGAGATTTTGCTCCGAGTTTGAGCTCCTCTTGAGATTGGCCGAGAGTTCTGGTGTAAATTCAAACTTTGCAAGTCCTGTTGTTATGATGAAGGCATATATAATCAATCGTCTGAATTTGTCACTGTCTCGCTTCGTAATCGAGATGACAAATTCGCTTGGCCTTGGTTCCTCGTTCGCAAAAAGAAAAATTGCTATCAATGCCGTTGCACCACTTGTTGCAGCCAGAAATGAAATCCGATTTTCGTAGAGAATCGTGCTCGCAATAGTGGACAAAACAACGCTGAATCCGATGGCCACTGTTTTCATGACGCAGTCAGCATATTTAATAACTGCAGAAACGAGGAAACCCCCACCAGTGAAGAGCCCAATTTGACACCAAACCAACAGGTCGAATCCATCAAAGAAATTACCATAACGGCCGTTGTCGAGAAGCAATACTTTCACTAGGGCAAAGAAAAGGGACCAAAGGGCTAATTGGAAGTTTCGCACCCATAGAGATGGCATTTTTAAGTGCAACGATTTAACAACTTTTTCAAAAAAAACTCCAGCAAAAGAACTCAAAACGTTTGATAGAGCGACTGCAGTCAAGCCAACTGCAGAATTTCCTGACTTCTCTCCTTCGCCCTTCGAATCCTCAAAAACCACAACTGCAATACAGAAATTAATTATGGCCAAGTCCACCCATTGACTCGCTGAGTACCTCTTTCGTAGCATGAAGACACTGGTAACTGCCGTTACCATTAATTTGAATTGGTTTGAGACTTGAAATATAGGTACAGAAAGGTTGGAGATTGCTATGTACACGAGGCTGTTCGAAACAAGATAAAGCGCGGCTGGGATCGCCATTGTAAGCATTTCATGAGGGGAGTCCCACGTATGTGACCTTAGGCGATTCCAGGCATGACGATTGCTTTGATTGCTTAAAGTGGCCTCAAACAGACAGCTAAGAAGAAGCTTCAAAAATTCTGCAACGACCATAAAATGAGATATCTCAAACAGCGGCCCCCGAGTACTCTGGCGTATATAACGACCCAAAAGCACAGTGACCGTGTTTTGGACAACTAAAATTGCCATCAGACAAAGTTTCGGCGCAATGAGGGACACCTTGGCCATTTTCTGCAAAGTCCCTTTTCCAATTGGGTTCAACTAAATGAGAGTTCCTAACAAGGATGATTTTAGTGGGAGGCGGGCCGGCTTGATCACTCTTTCTGCAGGGGGGGGGTGCAACGGTCAAGGCAAACATTGGGACTTTTCGGTTGGGTACAGAAAAAGGCCCTAGTCACTATGTCCATGTAACATGTAAGTACGCTCAAGTGCCTTTCTATAGAGATCCATAGTTTTCTCTGGAGAGATATGGCAGGTATTCCATAAAATAGGTTCTAAATATTTGAACATCAATGTATTTTTCATCTGCAATTTGCAAAGTGGCCTATCTTCTTTTCCTAAGGCAGCTTTGCTACTACTTTGTGGGTGTGAACATGGAAATTGAGATGTACAGTGGACTAGTGACAGCAATTTTGTTTTTGTCAACACGCAATGGATATACCTATATTAAGGGATGGAAATAGAAATGATCTTCATTTTTGAAGAAAACTTCATCTACATATTGTCAGTTGGACAGTATTTGATAATGCCTGTCTGTCTTGCGTCAAATGCTGGCATCACGATCAAAATCTGATCAAGCATGTCAAAACTTTGACCTCTTATGTTTGAAATCAAATAATATTGGTCTGCTCTTTGCAAAAATCCAGTAAAGGTTTGGGAAATTTGAGTTTTTGTGCAAGGCTTTTGCTTTGCCCATTCCATGTGGATAACAAGTCTTTTAGAATAGTTGTTTCCTGTAGAGATGATTATTTTGTATAAGACGGATTGGAGATTGCTATGGTTAGTGCCTCTGCATGACGACTTGATGGGTCGCATGTTGGCACGGCTGGTTGGCAATGATGGCTTGATGGGCCACAAAGTTGTCAATCGGTTTGGACAACGACAAGCCTGTCACTTGTCTGATGTCCACAAAGGGTCCGGAGAATGGTAAGCGTTCGTAACGGTTGTATGGGCTGATTTTTTGTTTTTCCACCACTCCCACCGTGTCTTTCTTCTTCCCATTGCACTTGCTAAAGTGTGACGCGCCAAGAGCCAAGATTCTTTGGGCTGTTTCAGGAACACCCTGCCCGGAGATATAAATTATATTTTTAGCTTATATTATTTCTCCCTTTAAGTATTAATGACATATTAATTATGTGATGATTTATCTTATAGGCACCAATGACCGATTGGTCATTGTGACTTTTTCTGAGTTATAACTCAAATCAGTTATAACTCACGGCATTGAGTTATAACTCAAACATGTGAGTTATAACTCAGACGTGTGAGTTATAACTCAAACGTACTCAGAAAATGTCAGGGGGATGACGTTCTCCAATGGGGGAAGGGCAGCTTCAAGCAATCCAGCTCCTTCTCCTCAATATCTCCAAGGAGAAATCCAATGTCTTCATTGGTCAAAATCATTTTTCCCTTACCTTGTGATTTTGCGGAAGTGGCATTTGTAGCCATTGTTGGGTCGTTATTGGCGGTCTCGATGGTCATGGTGTTGCATGACAAGATTTTTTATAGAGTTTGGATCTGGAAAAGTACAGTACAGTACAGCTTGGCACCTCAGTTTTTGAAAACACACTGTAGAAAATCCGTAGTAGGCTTGTCAACAATTCATGCCATAGAAATCCTAGCAATTGACAAAAAGCAACAACCCATTTACATTGTCAAGCTTCTGGAGGCTTGTTACCATCCAACAAGCCTCTCCCATCATCAAATTTTCCAACAAATTCCTTCAATAGACATTAAGTGTTAGAATAAAGCAAAATGTGCTCTATTGTGAGTGCCTTTAGCGCTCAGAACAAACTCTCTGCAATCTAAATTTGTAATCGACTGTACAACACTTTCACAACAATAGTGCTCCTGTGTCTAGGTATACTTTGAGTGAAATTGTTCCTATTTGATTAATATTTGGCTTGAATTGATGATTCAATCACAAAGGTAAGTTCAACAATTTTCCCTTGGAAAATCCCTTGTTTACAGAACTTGATTCGACCTCTACAACAATTCTGTGTTGAATGCAGTACTTTGGGACATCTTGTATCCCCTACTGCACCGTACACAACACCGATATCTCACTTGTATAGGGTCATCCCCTTTTTGTGTGGATGGAGATTGTCCAACAGACTTGTTTCCGGCATACTTGCGTCAAATCCTGACATCACGATCAAAGTACGATCGTACGTGTTGAAAACTTTGTACCTGAATAGTTTCTTTTTGGAACGTAAAAACTCATATTTCGTCATATCCCAACACACTCCTGCCATTGTGACAATCACCATTGGCAGCAATATTTTTGTTTTGTATTTTCATTTTTTGAACATATACACACCTGTCTGACCTATTCCTGTGGACCAAGAATCAGATCCCTGCACTTGCAAAACTTCTCACCTTGCAATGGCTTAGTCATGAAATCCGCAATCACATTGTCAGTTGGACAGTATTCGATCTTAACATTTCCTTTCTCAACTTGATCTGTGATAAAGAAATAACGAATATTGATAGCTCGGCTTCTTTTGCCCGTGCTCTTGCGACCATTCTCTTCCAGCAGAATCACGCTTTTGTTATCCTGATACAAGATATTCTTCTCGATCGGATACCCTTGCCACTCCATGAACAACTTCGTCCATAGTATCATCGTGACAACATTGTCAACAGCAATCAGTTCCGCTTCCATACTGCTTCTGCTGTTTAGCTTTTGCTTCTTTGACATCACTTGAGCTGCACCTTCTCCAAAGGACAGAGTGCTGCCAGTATGGCTCTTGAAATCTGGATGCACCGCAAATGATGCGGTGATTTCATGACTCGTAGTGATTCTGCGGAAAGTGTCAGGTGATACAACAATGTACAAAACAAATATCGCATCATGCGAACACACTTCTTCCAATCAGACTCTGTGGGTTCTCGAACTCTTGAGGCAAGAATAGTAATCGTTGGATGGATATCCAAACAAGCTCTCTTAGAGACATAAAGTATGTTCTTGACTTAGTCGTCCATGCGGATCTTAAGTTTTCCTTTCACCGAGAAATCCAAAGTCATTCCAAGATATCTGTGTATCTTTCCTCTGACAATTGTGCATGCCTTGATCGAACCATATCTCATGTTCAACCATTCAGCAAATTTGTCATTCACTTTTGGGTCCATGTGACTTGACATAAGATCAAGTGACTTTTGCCACTTGAGGCTCTTCAGGCTCAAATGCAATCTCTTCTTCTGGCAGGTCCTCCAGATCAGTAACGAGGGTCCCATATCATTGGTTCCTCTATCAACATTTTCTTGATGGTGATCCAAATCGGCCACAATAGTTTCTTCCTCATCATTGCCTTCATCACCCGAATTGTCGTCATCTGATTCATAGTCATCATCTCCTTGGAATCTGACAGTTAGTTCTGGCATATCATTGACATCATTGTCTGCATCTGCCAAGAGCTCTTCTCTTTTGGAGTCATCAATATCATCAAATTGTCCATGTAGGTTGATACCACGTTCATCTTCATCTTCAGGTTCATAGTCCTGATCAAAGGCTTCTTCTAAGTAACCTTGTTCCGTGTCATCCACTCCTGCAATTTGATCGCCATCTTGAAATGTCTCCAAATCTCTCTTCTTATCGAAAAAATTCATGGAAGTAACACCTTCTGCAGCAGCCCAAGCTTCAACACGCTCAATTACTTGGTCGGTAACGGGTAGTACACTGACCTTGGGACAGGAAATCATTGTCCCTTCGTAGGTTCAATGTAAATCGCTTCAATACTTTGGGGTTCCATTGAATTGTTGGAATCCTTCCCAAATGCATGAACATATTGTCCAAGTTCAGCAACCATGTCACTCTTGTAGTTGATATTGACATTATCAATGATTCAGGTTCTGCATGGGAATACATGAGCGATAACGCACAGTGGTATCAATGCAGGTGAGAAAATGCATGAGCTCACCATTACAAATGGTGGTGTTTGTACAACCACTGTCCATGATGACATGATCGTACTTTGGATAAACTGCAGACCTTGATCCGCTTCAGAAGCAAGATCAGGCAAATCTTCATTTTCACTAGCATAGTGCCAGTTGGCTTGAAGTTTGACATTAGTCGTTCCAGTAGGACATGGAATAAGATAGACAACATTGCCATTCTCATCCTTTCCCTTGATAGCATCGTGAAATACATTTGACATATCAAAATATCCAGTTTTCACTGCATTGAACCCTTGGCGCACTTGAGCACCACTGAAGCCTTGTTGGCTGAGTTGCATTCCACTGAAGCAATCTCACCGTTAGCATTCATAGAATAAGGGACAGTAACAGTGCCGCCACCTTGAGTTGGAATCTGCATGAGCTGCATTCCAGAAGGAACTTGCATCATTTGATTACCTGTAGTACCAGCAAGTCGCAAAGGTGTGTTAACGCTTCCCGCAACACTTGATGCTCCACTTGTGGATGCTGAAGCTCCAGGAACTATAGCTGGAACAGTAGCTGGGACAGTTGCTCCAATCTGATTAAGATTGAGCTTCTTCCCATAGTCAACATATTGATCCTGATTCTTCCATTGGGTCTTTGGTAGCAGTCTGTCTGGGCATTTTGGAGACATATGGTCTTTGTTGCCACATACATAACATGCTGCCTTCTTTCCATCCTTCGGTTTCCCCTTTCCTTTTCCTTTACCTTTACCTTTATTAGGTTGGTCTTTTCCTTGGTAGAGGTTCACTCCCGGATTTTCACTCACTTCCATGTGAATTTTCAACATATCTTGTGCTTTGCTGACCGTCTTTGGATAATAATCCACTTCTCTGCAATAGTTTGTCTGAAGATCCAGCATCAGAGGAGCTGTTCTTGTTTGATTGCAGTTGCACAGGAATCCTGTTGCAAGAACGGCTTCAAAGATATCATCCTTGAACTTGTTTTGAGCAGCAGTATCGGTGCTAGCAATAGCAGCATACGCTTTTGTCTTGACTGCAAAATCTCGGAACCAGGCCACGCCATATATCTTGCAGGACTTCAGCCTGTCTCAAGAATCGTTCCTTGAAGTAGCCTGAGCTTCGCATGTTCTTGTCGAGCTTTGCAGAATAGAGAATCTTGTTTTGCGCCATCTCTGTTTCTCTTGCAACAGCTTCAGTTTGAGTTGGAGCGTTCAATCTTGGAGCGATCGCATTGAAGTCAATCAACTTTCCATCTTGAATCAATTACACCATGTCTTTGGAGCACTTTGGGAATGTTTCCTCTAGTCAGAAGATGAAACTTCTTATGGACTTTCCATCTCAAATTGATTTCACCATGTCTTCTGAACATTTCATTCCAGAAGCTTGGATGTAGTCAATCACTCTTTCTTTGGCATCTTCGTACGACCATCTTGCCTTTCCATCGTTTTCATCTTTCGTTGAAAATAGATGTTTCACAACTGTTGAACTTGAATTGCTCTTGACTTTCTGAGGAGTCACACGTCCTTTTCCACCACCGGATGAAGAACGTCCCATCGTCAACGAATCACTCACTCCTTTGTAGATAGGGCAGTGCTGTTCTTGACGTAAATTTGTTTTGTTGCCTTTTGTGATTGCATGTTAGGGTTAGGTATCGTGAATGCCTTTTGCGCTCAGAACAAACTCTCTGCAATCTAAATTTGTAATTGATTGTACAACACTTTCACGACAATAGTTCTCCTGTGTCTAGGTATACTTTGAGTGAAATTGTTCCTATTTGATTAATACTTGGCTTGAATTGATGATTCAATCACAAAAGTAAGTTCAACAATTTTCCCTTGGAAAATCCCTTGTTTACAGAACTTGATTTGACCTCTACGACAATTCTGTGTTGAATGCAGTACTTTGGGACATCTTGTATTATTCCCTACTGCATTGTACACAACACCGATATCTCACTTGTATAGGGTCATTCCCTTTTTGTGTGGATGTAGATTGTCCGACAGACTTGCGTCCGGCATACTTGCGGCAAATCCCGACATCACGATCAAAGACCAATCGTACGTGTCGAAAACTTCGTACTTGAATAGTTTCTTTTTGGAACGTAAAAACTCATATTTCGTCATATCCCAACATTAACCCATCGGGGGTCAGACGGCACTCTGTAGCAATCGTGTTTTGAGACTTCTTTAGTTTTCTATTTAGAAATTTGTGGTGTCTCAAAACACTCTGAAATCAAACGCAGGGTTTACTGCTCAACATTTTGTAGAAAGTCCAACTGGTCGACAAGACGAGATTTTTTGGAAGCTCCCGCACTTCACTGTTCCTACCGCTCGCCCGCACTGTCTCCCGCTCGACACAATTTATTTTACTTTCGTGCAGCAATGACAACAATATCAACAACATCCATCCTACAACGAGCATATTCTATGAGTATTCAGCTGATATTGGGAATTTTCAGATATTCAATTGCGAGTCTGGGTGGCAAGAAATGGTGGCTCACTGATTGACGACAAAAATTCAAACGAATTTAAACACCAATCAACCCAAAGAAGTCAGGAATGGATCGGACATTACGGCAATACACGATTTCCTTCAATATTTATTCAGCTAATGATTACAGTTTTCAGATATTCAATTGGAGAAGTAGGTGCGGAGAAATTGCGACTTGACTGGCGCGACGACGGAATTTCATCAATCAAACTAAAGAAGACACCAATGAATGGCAACAATACAAATGTACAGTTTCATTCATTTTATATTCAGCTAGTAAAGTCTTTTCCTTTTCTCCTCGTGAAGAAGCCATCGTCGTAGTGTTTGTGATTGTGATTTGTGGAACGCAGACCATGCTGGACAGAACGGGAGACCGTATGGGTGTGCTTGAGACATGCGTTATAGATGTGACTGAAGAACGAAGTACAGACGGAGTCTGTCATGCGACATTCAACACGATTGCTACAGAGTGGGTCAGACGGCCCTGATCAGGGCCGAGTCCCCAAAATTGAACACAAATCACATCCGTTGAATTGCTTAATGATGGAATTAGACAATACAATTTTACACACCTATTACCTTAATATAGTGGAAGCTTGGTTCAAAAATTTGGGTTCTCAGGTGATGTTCTCGAGCCACGAGATTTAATTTTCTTTTTCGACCGAATCGTGTTTCGACGAAATTTCCGTATTCATTGGATTGACCCCACTCCCACCCCATAGATCATTTCTTGATGTCCCAAAGTTGCAGAAATTACTTCCATTAACAAGGCAATGCATTCTACAACATGAGAGTATTTGAAAGGGTTGGTTACGCCCCCAGATCGCTCAATTTCCCATTTCAAACCAAAAAATTGACACCAACTTGTCATCCAGGAACGGCCGGGAACGGTGGTCAAACGAGTCAAATCGAAGTTGTAAGCTGCAGGAAAATGGGAATCTTGGAGACGGAATCTTGCGAAATCTTAGTGGTCGTACAGATTACTTGTTTTAAGACATATGGACTATTCAAAGAACATCATTCCTGTTTGCGGAGGGTGAGAGCGTTCCACGCGCGTCAAGAAAATATTCTCTGATTGAACTATTAATAATCTCCCTTTAATTGATTTTTTAATCATCCAGAATGTTGGCAATGCTAGAATATTCGACGCTCCATAACAACTGGCGGATTGGCTGGCTCGTGGACCCTGGTCCATGGATTGACTTGCTCGTGGACCACTGGTCCACGGCTCGACGTGATCGTGGACCACTGGTCCACGGATCGATATCCTCGTGGACCACTGGTCCACGGCTCGACGTGCTCGTGGACCACTTGTCCACGGCTCGACTGTCTCGTCCTAGCGACCGTTCCGGTCAGCATTCACTAAAAAGTGGTCTGATAATTCACATTTTAAACTTTTAATGCCAGGGGAATGTCTCACGAACATTTTATTCTTCTTCGAAGCACTCTTGCAAAGGGGAATTACATTTAATATTTGTACAAAATTTCAAAGGGATTTCGGACTCTTCGTCGGAATGTCAAAACTCATAATTCGGCGACTAAGATTCCTTTTTCAGTCTTCCGCGTATAAGATGGCCGACCAATACGACCGCCGTTCCCGGCCGTTCCAGACCAAATCGAATTCCAAATACTTTACACTCCACTATTGAAGCAATCTGCACCCATCTACTGTTGGGATATGACGAAATATGAGTTTTTACGTTCCAAAATGAAACTATTCAAGTACGAGGTTTTCGACACGTGCGATCGGAATTTGATCGTGCAAGATGTCGGGATTCGACGCAAGTATGCCGGA